GTCAACTCTTCACGCTCGGCCTTCGCCTCCTTCCTCTTCGCCCCCCTCTTCTTCCAGCGTTATGAGGCCAGCGGTCCCCAGCCCGGCACGCAGCTCTGCCGATGCAAAGTCCTCATGAAGGTGTGGCACCCTGCTCTGAGCCCCCCCAAAGAACCCCCAGGAGGGGCCAAGCAGGGTGATAGTCCCCATATCTGCCCCCTGCCCACAGTCCTTCCTGGGTGTCTTTCGCTCACTGCCTTCGCTGGAGAAGACGGTGGGGAGATGCCTCATCCTGCTCAAACCCCAGGCCAGCCGCCTGGTTGTGCAGCTCCACTGCAAGTATGGTGAGTGCGGGTGAGGACACAGCCCGGGGTGGGACATGGGGACATGGTGACACTGCCACCCCGCTGAGCCGCTGTCCTCCCTGCCAGGCGTCACCAAGACCCACAACCTGGCCTTCCAGGACTGCGAGCGGCTGCAGGCTGTCTTTGACACCCAGCACTGCGCCAGCAGACTCTGTGCCCCGGCACGGTGAGCCCCAGCACAGGGAAGGGGGGACCCTGGCTGGGGTGCTCAGCCTCAGGTGTGCCCTCACCCCCCCATGTGCTCCCAGGGTGCTGGCGGAGGCTGTGGTCCACTTCCCGCAGACACTGGCTGAGGTAACTCTGGAGGCTGGCCCCGGGGGCAAGATCAGCCTCCGAAACTACGTGGAGGATGAGATGGGTGAGCCCTGGCAGCATGGGGGTGCCCCTTCCCCAGTCTTAGGGTGCCCACACAGCTCCCTGACACCCCCTCCTCTTCCCTCCCCAGAGCCGAGCAAGACGATGGTGACGGAGCTGTGGCTGGCCGAGGACGAGTTCCAGACGGTGGCCGTGGTCCCAGGCTCACGCATCACCTTCTGCCTCAAGGAGTTTCGTGTGAGTCCTTGCCCATGCCCCTGCTCCCAGGTCACCCCTCAGCCCCCCTTAGCCTCCTCTTTGTCCCCAGGGGCTGTTGACCTTTGCCGAGGCCTCCAACCTGCCCCTCACTGTCCACTATGACGCACCCGGCAGGTAGGAGCGGGAACCCCCAGTCCCCCTGCCCTTGGACCCCCCTTCCCTCCTCAGACCCTCTGTGCCCCCAGGCCGGTGGTGTTCACCCTGGAGGATGCGGTGCTGGACGTCCACCTGGTGCTGGCCACCCTCTCAGACCCAGAAAGCAGCTCACAGCCCCCCACAACCAATGGGTAAGTGGGGCTTATGTCGGCCTCAGGGTAGGTGACAGTGCCAGCTCAGCCCTCCGTCTGCCATCAGTAGGGACCAGAGTGAATGATCTCCGTTCTGATCGATCTCTCCCCAGCAGTGTGTCCCACCTGCCTGCCCCAGCAGACGACTTCGCGGATGACCTCGAGTCCTACATGATTGCTATGGAAACCACTGCCTATGAGGAGGGCTCGGGGGTGCCCCCCAGCCCTACCTTCCCCCTCCGCAACCCACGTCCAGTCGAAAGTGACCCTGAGAAGGGGGAAGAGGAGGATGACGGAGCTGTGCCAGGGACACCCCCTCACAAGAAGGTCTGGGATGGACACAGGTGTGCCCAGGGGCAAGGGGATGGGCACAGCCCCCTCCTGACCCACACCTTCTCCCCACAGTTTCGCTCACTGTTTTTTGGCTCGGTGCTGACACCAGGAGGGCCCAGTCTGGCCCCCACCCAGGAGGTGCTGGCAGAGGACAGCGATGGAGAATGCTGAGAGTCCCAAGGCTGTGGGGCTGGTGGCACTCACCCCTGCAAGACGCCTCCTCACGTTCAGCCGCCAGGACGGGCACTGCCCCGACCCAGCATGGGCCCCCAAACACAGGCACCCCCTCATGACCCATTACAAGTTTATTCCCAAAAAATCCTCCTGCCCCGCC